GAGCGTTAATTAACAAGCTGGCGCTGAACTGAGGCTCCTGCAGCAGCCCTAAATTAATTAAGCTTCTCCCGAGGGAGTTGTGGGGCGATTTCTGATCCCGGTGGCTCACCAGCGCCCGGTACCGTGAGCACGGTTCAGTGCCACGGCGCTTCTGGGCATGGGGGGAGGGGGAAAAATATGTTTGATTAAAGCTTTTTAAAAAATAATCTCTCAGTAATTAAATTGTGATGATTAAATAAAATAGCTTCAATCAATTAAACCCCCAGCACCTGGGAGAGGTCCCGACTCCCTCTGAGTGGGAGGTGCTGGTGAACTTTAATTGAGCTTTAATTATCTGCTGTGGTTGTGTTCTGCTGGCTGAGCAGAATCGCCAAATTTGGTTCTTTTTGGATTAAAAAAAATCGAGGTAAACTTTGTTGAGCGCCTCAGGCCACACATGGGACACCTTCAGCCCTGGGGTATGGATGGGACCCCCCCTGGGCTGTGCCAGGGAGTGCCTGCAGGAGCTCCCTCTGCCTGCCCCTGTCCTGGGGACGGGTGGGGGCTGCCAGGGGCCAGCAGGACTCCTCGGGCAGCTGTCAGCTGGGGATAGCCACAGTCAGGAAGCAGCACAAGCTTCTCGGCTGAGCAGGAAGGGGTGGTTTGCTGTCAGGGAGCTGTGCCAGGGAATCATGGAGCTGTCGGTGTGCTCATCCTCCTCTCTCCCCTCCCCAGCTCCAGAGCATCGCTGAGAAGGACAACAACCTGGTGCCCATAGGGAAACCAGCGTCCGAGGTGGGTGTGGGCATGGGGATGGAGGGATGCCACAGGGAGGGGGTGAGGGGCTGGCAGGGCACTGGAGCTGCCATGTTCCATAGCATTATGATGAGGAGGAGGAGGAGGATGATGAAGATGACGAAGACAGTGAAGAGGATTCAGAGGATGATGAGGACATGCAGGACATGGATGAGATGAATGATTATAACGAATCTCCTGATGACGGGGAGATCAACGAGGTAAATGGCAGGGCTGGGAGCCCCACTGAGACCCCAGAGTGGGGGATATGCAGTGTGTGGGAGCCTGAGTGTGACCCTCAGGGGGTCTCCTCTCCTTCACCCCCTCTGCCAGGTCTCTGCTCTGGTGGGGGATCTCAAACCTCTCCCCTTCCCAGGTGGACATGGAGGGGGCAGAGCAGGATCAGGACCAGTGGATTATCTGATTCTGCCATGGCCACACCAAAACGAAGGCTGGGGGAGAGCCCTCACCCACCCCACGGCTCTGGAGGGCAGTTTGGTGAAGCTCCTCCTGCTGTGGGTGCTGTGTGGGGTAGGGGGGCTCAGGGTGAAGCCCCCTGGGGGGGCTGGAGGGGAGACTGCCAGCCGGCACAGCGAGGCTGACAAGGCCATTC